CAACTCTGATCTCTTGTCCGAGGGGGCATATTCGGCAAGTCAGTCTGAAGCAAGGGAGTTAGTTACGTTTCATGTCTTGGGCTCAAAATATATTATAAGGGTTTAGGGTTTTGGGCTTGAAGGTTTAGAGTTTGGGGCTTAGGGTTTTGGGCTTGAAGGTTTAGAGTTTGGGGCTTAGCGTTTTGGGCTTGAAGGTTTAGAGTTTGGGGTTTAGGGTTTTGGGTTAAAGGTTTAGAGTTGTGGGTTTAGGATGTAGGGGTTTAGGGTAAAGGGCTTAGGAGCCCAAGAGGTGGCAACCTCTCTGATCATAGGACCCCAATGTGCGCCAAGCCCAAACTAATGAGGTCTCGTAAGCTTGAACCATGCTCTAGTAGTGCCCAGGAATTCCTATAGGTTTTAGGGTTTAGGGTTGAGGGTTTAGGGCTTAGGGTTTAGGCTTAGGGTTTAGGGTTGAGGCCCTCAACATAACATTAGCTTCTGCCCCAAGATCTGAGGTGATGATGAGGTACCGAGTATGGGTGGTCATGATTGGAGGCCAGGACTCCCCGAACCCTGAACACTGAACCCTAAACCCTGAACCCTAGACCCTAAGCCTTAAACCCTAAACGCTAGACTTTGGGGACCTGAACCGAAAAAAGTACGTAGAATAGTTTCCCAGATAGCTGAGCCATAGAGGTCTTCAAATGGGTTCTTCTCAAGGTTATGGGCCCCTTTTGGTTATAGATTATATAACGACACCTAATATTGAGGGGTACCAGAATGGACTTGGGAACTAGACCACTATTATCAGGGGGTCGGCACGCAGTTCCGGCTATGGGTGCTATTTGGGAAGTGTTTGGATGTTGTTTGGGACCCTCAACCCTGTCCACAAGCTGCTGTGAAAAACGTCCACATCTGCACAGCTAATTTGGAGTCTTTGCTGGTAAGATGCTCACTGACTCTGTTTATCGGTTTTGGATCATTGTTTTTCTTACTTTGGGGGTGCACCTGTATACTGAATATCATGCTTTGCGGATTTAAGGTTCCTGAATATGATGATTCGAGGATTTCGGCAATTGGCTAAGGGTTTAGGGTTTAGGGTTTAGGGTGTTCTGGACTCCTAGGCACGGTAGGGCTGACCTGCCCCAAATTCGGGTCTAGGGTTTAGGGTCTAGGGCACGCATATCATGGTAACTTCATTTAAGTTCCTCAACAGCAACCAAGTTTGGCGAGGGAACTTCTGTCCAAAATGACATGACCGTTGCTAAGATCCCCAAAGATGACGACGCTTTGACAATACGTTTCGAATCGCATCTCTTCAGTTTTCATGAGCAAAGCCATTGTGATCGTTTTCATGTTTTGTGCCAGTTCTTTCCAAGAAAGACGGTAAGTGTCACCACCGGCATTAACATTGCTATAGGTTCAATGCGAAGTTCTTCCGAGGCGCTGCAGTCTAACCTGCAAAAAAAACCCTATTGAAGCCAAGAACCTTAAACCTGAATTCTAACCACCAAGCCCCTAAAACCACATCCAAAAAACCCTATACCCTAAGCCTAAATCCCCAAAGCCCTCAACCTAAACCCAGAACTCTCAAAAGTCTTCTTGGCAGGTTTCCCTGGGCCAAGAAGGGCTTTTGCTACACAAACTGGCTCAGCATACCGTCAGAATTAGTGACAGGAGCTTTAAAACTCAAAGGTTGCAGCCTTGGGTTTACGGTTTTTAGGGCCCTTAATATGTGCCCCTACCTGTTTCCTGGTCGGTCGGGGTTGTGGGGGCTTACAGGGTACATAATAGGTATATAAGGACCGTAGGACTAAAGGCCCATACCAGTGCGGCCCGTAGTTCACACGTTTTGCAAAAACAAAATTGGGGTTTAGGCTCCGGGGACCTGGTACCCCTAAGCCCTAAACCCTCATCCTTAAACCGCACTTATAGCTCAATACCACAGGGGTTATAGGGATATCGAAGGTTTCAGGCTCACAGTGCAGGGTTGACCCCGAAAAGGATCCAACAAATCTAGCCCCAGCAAGAATTCTGGTAGGTTTCCCGAATATGTTTAGGGTTTACAGTTCAGGGTCATGTTGGGGGTGGTCCATCCCTGCAATCCTCTAGTTGGAGGTTCATGGGACCTAGTAACTACTTCTAGCTGGGGTTAGAACCCTGACTTCTGATGCCCCTAAACCCTTGAATAACGGCTACCTAAATTATTAGTAGGGATTTGACCCCAGGTATTTGCCCCATGACCCTAAATCCTAAGCCCTTCTAGAATTGCTTTAAAGTTTATAAGTAGTTCTTGGGAGCCCTTAAGCAGGGGAATCTGGAATTGCTTGCCCAGGTTTTTTCTCAGGGCTTCTCCTGTCACCTGTAGGGTTCAGGGCGCAGGGTTTCGGTTTTGGGATGAAGGGTTTAGGGTTCTGTCCTTAGAATTAATTTTGATTTTTATTATAGTATAACCTAGAGAAATATTAGAAATACTTTTGAATATAGGTCTAAGGAGACTACAGGTTTAGGGTTGGGGGCAATTACATCCACATTGCCCGACCTTACCCCCACTAGGAGACCCAGCATGGCCTTATTTCCAGGCTTTTGATTTTATTACAAATTAGCCAGTGCACCCTAAAGCCTAAACTCCCTCCCGGCCTCAGTTCCCACCCATTACTTGGGTGATCAGACACTGAAGAAACACGCCTGCCTTTGCACCCGCACTGGGCAAGAAGTGGATGTCTAGAGGCCCTCCGGGCTCCTCGTACAGGCTTTGTCAGACTGTAATTGAGCCGTTGGGAGGGTGGGTGCTGGGGCCGTCGTGGGGGGTGGGTCCTGGGGCTGGACTGCCTAGAGTTGAGACCTTTTGCAGTCTAAAATGCAGGAGCCTCCAACAAGAAGCCCGCAAGGGGCCTGGACTTTGAGGGGCCTTCCAGGCGTCTCCATGAACTGAGGGCGTAGCTCTAAACCCCAACAAGGAGCAAATTGGGTGGTAGCCTGTGCTGTCTCACAGCGGGTGAGGGACTTTGAAGAAAGCCCACTTTCAATAATTTCTCGGGCGATGGATGGCGCAGGATGTGCCGCCACCCACAGATCCCTGGAAGTGGGGTGGCGCCATGGGCGCATGAATATTCGGCCATGCGCAGGTAGACGGCCTCAACCCTAAACCCAAAACCATAAACCATAAGCCTTAGGCCCTGAGCCATGTGGCTCTTTGACTTCTTGATATTACGTATGACCGACCTGGCAGTTATTGTTCTGCGGAACCTTGAGCCAAACCCCAACATTGGATCCCCACGTGGTTTAGGGCTCAGGGTTGAGGGAATGTCGCCCCCAGCCTCAACTCTTCAACCCTGAACCTTAACCTAGATCCTAAAGCCTGCACCCTAAACCCCGAAGCCCTAAACCTTAGCCCTAGATCCTGAAGCTTTTGATCCTAAAGCCAAAACATTGAGCTCCAGTGTGCTCGCAGATGCACGGGCACTGAGAAGGGGAGTCACAGAGGGGAGTTTGACTCATGAAAGGAAGTATCACAATTGTAACCCGATGTGCATGTGTGGGCTGAGTTGAGGTTTCGCTTTAGACTCAGGTTTACCGGAAACACAGACGCAAGACATGAATTCCTTACTGGAGAGCAGGGCGTTTAGTGCAACTTTTGACAGAGGTGACAGCTGGGTCATGGATCGAAATGCATTTTAACCTTCTAGTATACCTAGCATGGCTTTGTTCAGACCTCTTGTTGTCAGTGTAAAGCGTAAAAAAATTCCCGGAAGCTAGCCTGGTCAAACCTCGTACGAGTTCAGCATTGATAAGGACTACGGCACCTATCCACACAGTTTTACATAGGCCCTATACTTATCCGTTCTCGTATTTGACATTCAGGAGGATGTTTTTGTCTGCTCGTTTTTTCCATTTCATTGCTGGTTTGCGCATTTCCCCCAATGGCTTCAATGCTTGAGGTTGCAATCCATCGTGAGTCCTTAAATTCTAAACCCGAAGCCCTGAATCCTTGCCTCTGGCCCCTAGAAGACCCGAGACCCGAAATCGCAATCCAAACTGGTAATTTTCCCAAGACAAAAGGAAATCCTAATGTTTGCGCTGGGAGGATCTAGAAACTGGGTCCCCATGACTACGATTGGTTCCTAGAGAGTACTCAATCGTAGTCTAGGGTGCCATGGTGGAGGTTCTATTTTTTAGATTCTCCCAGGGGTCTGGGTATCCGCAGAGGAACTCTCAGTCCTACAGAAGCAGGTGAGAGTAAGATTATATTCTATTTTTTTGGGGGTATCGCATTCTATACTGCAGATTATGGTCTTTTTGGGCGTTTAGGACCCCAAACCCTAAATAACGCTGCTCAGGTGAGTTTGCGCAGGGTCCTTGCGGCTCTCCGCCGTCCAGTTCGCCTTCTCCGCAACTTGGTTGGACATATTTCCTATACCGAAAGCCTTAAACCCTGATTCCCAAGCCCTAAGCCGTGAACCGTAACCCAAAAGTCTAAACCTTTAACCCAAAGCCTTAGACCCAAAACCTGAATCCTAAACAAAGCAGGGCCCTCCTGATTGAGCTGTGTCTAGATATGTTCATTAGGGCCTTGGGCATCAGTTCAGAAGCCTTGTACAAACACGATTACGAGTCAGTATCGTTCACCCTAAAACCTAAACCCCAAACTGTTCATGGGAGGACTCCAGCACCACCTTAAGTGCCTAATATCTTTGATCTTGGGAATTACGTAGTGTAAGCTGTCCAAATGCTGAACAGTACAAAGCTTTATCATGATACTGGACGCCCCTGACAGCCATACCGCAATACTAAGCCATAAAGGACATGAGACAACTTGAGCGGCAGAACAACCTGAGCCTCCAAAAACGAGCCAGGATGTTTCTGATGGCTAGATTCTTCCTTGCATGATTCCTTATTGCAAGCTGATGCATTCTGCTCACTGAGGCAAGCTTTGCTTACCCAGGCAGGCCCTCTCATCCTAAACCCCTTCAATCCCAAGTTGCCCTAACCCTAAACCCTAAACCCTAAAAGCAGTCAAGGTCTCCGTCACCCTCTCCTTCTCCGTCCCCCTCCCCTACGCCTTCGCCGTCCCCTTCGCCATCGCCTTCGCCCTCGCCCGGCTCTACAGGCTCTTTGGTGTGGCTTCAACAGTACGCTGAGATAATTCTCAAAATGAGCCACCGTCCTTCTGATTCGAGTCCCACTGCTGATAGGACTTTGAGTATCGACCGTACGTGTGCCCTTGTTGAGAGCTCCTGAAGGGATAAGGGTTCAGTTGGAGGGTTTTTGATTTACCAACTCTACTTACTCTCTTCATTAATCACAACTAGAAGCCCCATAACCCACTAGAATCAAGTTAGCAAGTCAAAATAGCCTGCCAGCAGCGTCTTTAATCTTACTTCTTGTTAGCTGGGAATGAAGGAATGGAAAATGTGATGGAAACTACTACAAGGGGCTATAAAGAGACGACTATAGGGATCCACTCCTTCATCCCTCGCGAACAATAGGTAATGTTGAAAATCTTTAACTTGGATGCCGAACTCTAAACTTGACCCCGATTCCTAAACCCTAAGCCTAAACCCTACAGCCTAAACCCTAAACCCGAAAGAAACCTTCAGACAGGTGCCTCCGGCTCTACAAGCAGCGGAGGCCGCGACACGACGCTTCTGATATCAGGGCTCTGTCTTCTGATTCCGCTGGCGGCACTGATGCTGAGGGTCTAATGTGGACCCCTAAACAAAAGTCCGTTGTTGGGCATCCTAAACCTTAAACCATACCCTCTATCCTAAGCCCTAAGCCGTGTAGTGGCCTTCTGAAAGGGGATTAAAGAGGGGAGGATGGTCTAGGGTTTAGGGCCTAAGCTTTTGAGAGGGGATTGTATGGGGGATTATTATAGAGGTACTTAAGGGAAGCTGTAGCTCATATGGTATGGTGGATTTACAACAAAAGTGGGGCCTGTGTTGGAGGTTACCTGTAGTAAAGAGTATAGTATATCGGGGTACATAAGGGTTCTCCCTGCTTGATATAAGCTTTCAGATTTTTTGGAGATCAAGAGGTAGCGGCTTACGGCTCACTAGCCCAACCCTAACCTCAAAACCTCGTAAACCCTGAAAGTCCTAGAGCCTGAACCCTTGATTCTGAAATGTGTAGATAGTTTAAACATAACCTGAGAGCCAAAGTCCTCCCGTCGCCCGCAAGGGACATCCTCAACCTAAACTCTAAAATGCTCAAGCCCAAACTCTGATGAGTAGTATGTTATTTGGGGATATTATGGTACCCAATATGGAGTAAGATTCTATCCTGCTTTTGGGTATAGTAGTTTATATAAGGAATACTATCTTACCAGGTTCAACCACCAACAAGAACGCTACTCTGATGCGTAAATCTTAGATCCTTCGCGATCCTGAGTGCGGGAAGCAAGCACTTCAACCGCACATTTTCAACTTGCAAGCTGAGGGGCGGCAAGGGGATGCAACTAGGTATAAGGGTTTCAGGGTCTTGGTTTTTGAGGTTTAGACCCTAGGGCCCCCAAATAGGACAGACCCTGTAAGAATCCTAGGTTCCTGTATAGTCCCCCTTGTGCATGAGTCCTTCCTAGAGGTCTGTTTTATTTGAGTAGTATTGAGTTTGGGGATATTATGGTACCCAATATAGAGAGTAAGATTCTATCCTCCTTTTTGGGGTATGGTACTTTATATAAGGGATCTTATCTTACCAGGTTCAACCACCAAAACAAACATTACTCATTTGGGTGGCAAGGGCGACAAGGGCGCCGGCAAGACTGAGGCTGCTGCTGGTGGTGGCAAGGGCGAGCAGGGCGCGGGGAAGACTCAGGTTATTGCTGCCGGTGGCAAGGGCGTGGCTGACAAGGGTGCCGGGAAGACTGAAGCTGCTGCCACAGGAGATACAAGACGAAATTACGGGAGTTCCTGACCACAGCAGAAAGAAACCAAGTGTTGGAGGACTGTATTGGCACAGAGAGAGAACGTCCGCACGTCCTGCCGTGTGTCCATGTGCTGCCTGCTTTCCAGTGACAGAACCCGAACCTGGCATGTGTAAAGTCATGCCTCGACCATAGGATGAGACCCAGACACGCCGACACAGGATCCCGAAGGACTTGCGCAAGATTGTGACAGAACGCACAAACATGAGCTCTTGGATTATCAGCTCCTGCCTTGCGTCCTAGACATCCGTGTGTTCCACCCTGAGAAACTCCGGCGGAAACTTAAGTTCACACAGGTGACACCACCCGAGAAGCCGCATCCATGAGATGGGCTACATTAGAGGGACGACGCACGCACACCGACATTCTAAGGACGATGCCCTTCCTCATCTGGCTCGATGACCAGGAGGCGACTTGAACTAACAGCAGCTAGCAAACACCAGCCGTCCCCCAACCGCGCACAGGTGTCCTACATGACGGGGGACTACATGTGGGCCACAGCCGACTGGCTGGATCCGGAGGCCGGCGTGCATGCATCCGCTACTTGCGAAAAGCACATTCCGTTGAAGGAATACAACTACGTAGTCGCAGTGGAGGCGCGCGCCAGCATGACCACGCGAGATGGACAATGAAAACAAGATTGCGCCAAGGAGCCGGACGTCCCTCACGGCTTCCGCTTCGTGGGTCCGACGAGGGCCGAAGCAGAGTCTGGGATACCGCCGCAAAGGACGGTCCTCAAGCACGACCTTCGAGGCACGTGGCTTCGAAGAAGAACTTCAAGCGTACCTCGAGGACAACATTGTCTGCCACAGCTCCACATGCCGCAGCACTCAATCAGCTGCAGGACACGAGGTCCCTACGCTCCTGGGACAGCACCGAGGCGGAAACAAGTGCAAGGCATGGTTACCGGAGAGCAAGCTTGCACTGTGCAAGGCCGGCGAAGAGGCTTCCCCGGAGGACAAAATCACACAAGCCGATCCGGCCGCCCCGCTCAATGTAGCCGAAGGATCTCTGCGACAGCGACAACGAATCCATGGCATCCACGTTGGCTCTTCCCGGATGCCTCACGGTGGAGGGACGCCCACCTTAGGGAGGTTATAAATTTGTATAAGCACGTTATACATGGTCTATAACCCACTTGCAATGGGTTATAAGTTCTCTAAGGTACTTATAAGTTTTTTAGAGTTACAGGAGTTATATTATTCATTTATAAAGATGTATAAATATTTATAATTCATGTTAAATTTAGCTAAGTCATGTTAAGTCATGTTAAATCATGTTAAGTTTCTTGCACCGCTTCAGCCATTTTCTTATAAGTATTTATAAGTATTTAGGATCTGAGCCTTAGAAAAACTTAGCAAGACTTAGCTTTTGGATGTCGAATTTTAGTCTATTTTTACATGTCGATTTGCGCAAGTTTTTCTACATTTTTTTGCGTCGAACACGCTCTCGAGCCAGTTTATGATTCAGCTGCAGGATCAGCGGCTCCTGCCGCTCCAGCCTTGCCCCAAACCCCTAAACCTTAAAACTCTCTCCCTTCCCTTGCCCCAAAACCCTAAACCTTAAAACTCTGTCTCCCCCCCCTCCCTCCTCTTCCCCCCTTTCCTTCCCACCCACCGGAAAGGCCAATACCACCCAGTACCGCCTAATACCGCCCAATTCCCCCCCCAAAAGACCAATACCACCCAATACCCCCCAAAAAAGGCCAATACCACCCAAAACCCCACCAACACCACCCAAAAAAGGCCAATACCACCCAATACCGCTGCCTCCTGTGCAGTTTCCTAGAGCTCTCCACAAACGCCACTCCCTGAAATCTGGAAAGCCGGAAAGGCCAATACCACCCAATACCGC